TGTCAGTGAAGGCGACATAGCTAGGGGTAGTCCTGTTCCCCTGGTCGTTAGCAGTGATTTCTACTTTCCCGTGCTGGAACACACCGACACAGGAGTAAGTGGTACCCAGATCAATACCAATAGCTGGTCCAGTTGCTTTAGACATTTTCTTTGGAGTAAGGGAGTTTTGCTTCACGAATCTTCAGAGGTCAAAATTGAAAAATGCCGTGATTTCAAGAAAGCAAGGGCCTGCTTTTTATAATATAATACACGTGGTCGATCAGGTGACGTTCTAGAAGAATCTGAAGGACACGAGAAAAGAGGAGATTGAGCTCAAATGAGCAGGAGGAGAATCAGTTTTGATATCCCGGAATTCCATGAATCCATAGGACTAGGGGTGGTGCTAAGAGGCGTGGTTTGTGTATTGTACACCCACGCATTCCAGCCCCACCCATTCTGACTTATGAATTAATTGAATATTTTGAACCTAAATTACGTCACTAGAGTACAAACTTTGTCTAGTCTGGTCCTTTTTTGTATTGTCATGCTGGGGGTGGACTTCCTGATTCACAAGACTCACCTACTGACGCAGGATCATAACCACAGGCCAAAACAACAAGAGAAAGTGCAGAAGGAAGGTAAACTAAACTGAAAAGGTTACACATCTCTTATTACTCCCTTCCCCCTCCTCTTCACACACTCAAAACCACACCACAGGGAAAAGGGAAAGAGAATACATTGATAAATGCATTGATAGATTACTGGGAAATGAGAGTAGGGACAAGAATATTCATGGAATCAATATCAATTCTAAGACACGGCCGATTTCATATCATGAGGCTATACCTCAAGATTATGCATTGTCAAGAATAGAGAGACTTAAAACCGAATGCTCCTTATATCATATGGTAAGAGTATCATAATGCATTACTCGTAATTTTGGAAGAGTAAAATTTTGATAAATTGCTAGACAATTTTTGGTGATTGGAGCAAGTTGGAGTTTTATTTTGGTGAATGGAATTTAAAGCACCAAATTTACAATCATCCCCTCCTAAGTGCATGGCATTTGGAGCAACTTTTAAAATACATAAAAAATTCAATTTTGATTGGAAGGAGTTCACACTTTCTACAAAACATAAGTACATTTATATGTATCAGAAAATTTATATAAATTGAGGATCCTTTCTTTTTATTTTTTCATTTTCAAAAATAAGCCTTTGTCTGAAAATACCCTGTACTGTAGCCCATAGTTTTTTCCAAAAAATGGCTCTAAAATTACCCCAAATTTTTATTACATTTTCTGATACATATTAATGTCCTTATGCTGTGTAGAAAGTTTGAGTTGATTTCGACTTCAATTTTTTGAGTTATGGTCATTTTTAAAAATAAGCCGTTTTCTGAAAAATACCCTGTACTATAGCCCATGGTTTTTTCCATAAAATGGCTCTGAAATCACCTCAAATTTTTATTACATTTTCTGATAGATATTGATGTCCTTGTGCTATGTAGAAAGTTTGAGTTGATTCTGACTTCAATTTTTTGAGTTATGGTCATTTTTAAAAATAAGCCGTTTTCTGGAAAATACCCTGTACTATAGCCCATGGTTTTTTTCCATAAAATGGCTCTGAAATCACCTCAAATTTTTATTGCATTTTCTGATAGATATTGATGTCCTTATGCTATGTAGAAAGTTTGAGTTGATTCCGAGTTCAATTTTTTGAGTTATGGTCACTTTTAGAAATAAGCCATTTTCTGAAAAATACTCTTTTTCCAAAAAATTGCTCCGAAATCACCCCAAATTTTTATTATATTTTCTGATGCACATTGATGTCCTTATGCTATGTAGAAAGTTTGAGTTGATTCAGACTTCAATTTTTCAAGTTACGGCCATTTTAAGAAAACACCAAAATTCTCAAAAATACCTCAAGCCTTGGTTTTCCCCCAAAATAGCTCCAAAATAACCCCAAACTTTTATGACCTTAGAGCAAGACTTCTCACCTCTTCATAACATGTACTTTATGTACTGTACCATGCACTTTCATTTTGTACTAATTTTGGAGTAACTTTAAAAATTTGTAAAAATCTAATTTGACTGGAATCAGCTCAACCTTTCTGCACAACAACATAAGAACACATGCATGTGTATATGTATTAGGGAAAGTTATAAAGGTAGAGAATTCTCTCCTTGTGGTAGGATCTTTTGTCCAATTTTAAAGCAACTTGAGAATCCACTGACAAGAAGCTTCATGGCCACTTTGCCAAAATCCTGTGGGAAACCCTGGGAATGAGTCCAAACTTTCAACGTACATGTAGCTTAAGTGTATTGAGCATAAATAAGTGTCAATTATAAAAATAATGCATAACTGTACTTGTAAGTTTTACAGGAGCAGAAATTTTGAAATGCATAAGTGTCTTCAATCACCAAATTAAAGTTCTACTTGCTTGCTCTATGGCAGGTTATGCTTTTATTGAATCTACACTTTTGTTGACATCCTTTATGACTGGGACTTTCCATACCCAGCTACTGCCTTATTAAAATTTTGTGTACAATCATTTACACACTTCCTGTGTTGGCCCAGTAATGATGACAGAACTGACCAAGGAGTGATGATTGTTTACTTGTACAGGAAACCATAAGGTCCAGTATTAAGAGCATCATAGCATTATAGTAACAGGAAATGCATCCACTCTGAGATTGATACTCCTCCATGGGTTGACTGAAAGGGGGAAAAATACCAACCTTTGGACTGTAATTATAGTATTTGAGCTTCGATTCCAAGAAATGATTCAGCTTGGTGAGAAATGTACACTCTGATGTCATAACCTTAACTGTGTACAGCTGGTTGAAATGTTAAAGCATGTAATCTGAGATTGTATAATGTGACACAATTAATTTGTTACTATCTCTTCTGGAGTTCATTGCTTGTGTATACATAGATTAAACTCATAGTATTGAGAGTTAGAGTGCTAAGAGATGGAATGCCTTTTTTCTATTATAATTATATATTTTGTCTCTTCTCTCTCTCTCTCTCTCCTTCCCTCTTTCCCTCTCTCTTAGGATCAAAAGCTAAACGAATTGGATGACTCTTTAACATCAATTGCATCACACAACAGGTGAATGAATATTAGACTAAGACTTTCATTATTAATATAATAAGTGGTACATTGTGAATGATGCTTGAGATGAGTTACATTGAAACTGACACTGTGACAGTAGGCACCCTGAGGGCATTAATAATATTAATACTCATGACTCATGTACTTGAATGGTCTCTATTATGCTATGATGCCTAAATCCTAATGCAATTGTTATACTCATCAATGTACATGTACTTGCATAATCATTGTACTTGCATAGTAATTATTATATTTACATTTACGTCATGAATGTGCATTCTGTCAGTGTTAATTATTGCATTTACATGTACAATAGTTTGTATGTTGTTACTATATCTAAGCACACCCACTCAGGCATACCCTGATTCAATAACACTATTATTGTTCATCTAATGATGTAGTTGGGCCAGCAGTGCCAGAGTGACAAGGCAAAACGTTGAACTTGCTTGTTTCGTAAGACGAAAGCGTCACCTGCTTACTAACCCAGCCACATGTAGGAGGGTAGAGCATAGGTTATGCAATCAGGTAAGTTTACAATAATGTTCGGTTGTCATTGCACTTTTGTGTATACAGTCATCATGTACTGCATCAACTCACACGTAATAATGTATGCTTACGCACAATGGCACATGATAGTATATTGCTCTCTTTTACAGACTGGGCCCGTCCTGATTGCCAAGATTATCAGAGATGGACCGAAACCAAGTTCGTCGCCGGCAACAATTTGGGCTGAACTAGTGTTAAAAGAGGGCAAGATGAAGCAAGAAAGGATACAGAGCTAGAATTAAGGATGGTTGGTGCTGTAAAGAATGTTCTGGCGGATGAGGGTACAGAGTTAGAATTTGCTACGTAGTCAGTGGTTATGAAGAGTACTGTGTATTATTACGTGATATGTTTGGACTTTTGCCTTTTAAGGATTGACCTTTTGCATTTATTTATAATTCAAAGGATAATAATTGAACTTGTTAAATAGCCGACTGATAGCTTGCGTCCAGCTGCAAAAGTGCCTCAATTTGTACAAAGGATTGTGTTGGTAGAAATGAATTATAATACAAAAGATGTGAAAAAGAATAACACAACAAACAAACACATACATAAAAGCACACATTGAAAATGACTCATAAGTAAGATGTATTTTTTAGAAAACTATCTGTTCTTGGGACATAAACAGCATCCAGAAAGCTCCAGCTTTTAACGTATTCGGTTGCTTGTCTTACTAAGCGACAGCAGAGGGTTTCGCCTTGTTTTCCACTCCCGCAGTCTTCTCTCCATTCTTGTATGAGACTAGTAAATTTCATCGAGTCTGCTTCGTCCCCGATACTCTTGAGGACGGCAGCGGCCGAGGCGATGCGTCTCTCCTTCTCGGCTGCAGTGTTAGTCGTGGAACAACTAGAAGAACTGCGGGAAGTGTCCATTATATAGAAGGAGGGCTTATTCGAGAGCTTTTATCACTATTAGCAAGAGTGTGTTACTTTTTCTCTGCTTTCCCTAACATCAAACCTTGGATTTTATAGCAATTACAAACAAAAGGGCCAGGGCGTGGTTGGTTTGGGTGTGGCTCAACAAGTCACGAGGGGTGTAGCTGGCTATTATACAACTCTGCAAAAGCTATGGCTCTAATGCATGAGAAAGTTCTAATTGATGGCTCTCCAGAGGCTTATAAAGAATGGGCAACTAGATATGAGGAAGATTCAATGCAGTTAGGCTATTCGGGGCACAGAAGTGTTGTCAAAAAATGGCAGGAATACTATGATTGCAAGGAAAGCCTCAATGGTTTCGTTTCTAAAATCATCCACAAAGTATTTGATGCTGGTTGTGGTACTGGCTTTATAGGAGATGAATTTGCAAGCTTAACACCATCACTTCATAGCACAGTAGAGCTATACGGGGGTGATCTTAGTCCTGATATGCTTGCAATAGCAGAAAAAAAGAATATTTACAAAGAACTACAAGTTGTCAACCTCAAAGAGAGACTTTTATATCCTGATGAGAGTTTCACGAGCATTCTCTGTGCTGGAGTTTTTGTTCAGGGGCACTCCGGAACAGAATCTTTGAAAAATATAATCAGGGTCCTCAAAAGAAACTGTTTCCTCATTGCAACAATACGTACGTCATTCTATGAAGAGAATAAGGGAGCATGGATCAAAGAAATCAATGATTGCAATTGTCAATTAGTAGAGGAGACACAGATGCCTTATCGTCATGATGTACAGGCAGTTGTCCTTGTAATCAAGAAATGCTAACTATTAATAATTAGCCAGCTAATGATATAGTAGCTACTTTTCCCTTTATTAAAATATTTCTGTTATCTAAATAAGCAAATCACACAGTTTAGATTGCATGCATGTAGATTCCAAGGATTGTATTTGTATCATTTTGTATTAATTGTACTGTTGTTGTACAGAAAGATTACAGACCACACATGATGCATGGTACGAGTACCATCTAATCCAAGCCTTTCACAACACCAAGGATAGTAGTTAGCTTGCCAGTTTTGTATAAAATTTATAATCAATGAAAATGAATTGTAATAGCCCACGTGTACACACGTGACTCAAAGAGGCGTGGTCAAAATGGAATCAATTATTAATGGTTAGTTAATTAATTTAGATTTTGGTTACGCCCACGCTTCCTCTTCAAAAAATGATTATTGTTCATAAATCTGAAAAATCATTTTAATTTCTGGTAATTTGGTAAAGATTGACAAAGAGAGAAAGGAGAGGGAAAAGAGAAGAGTGAGAGGTATAATAATGCATAAATTAAATTATACATGTACGTAGTGTGCACTATAATTAATTCAATATAATAATAATAAATTATAATACTTGTAAAATAGTTCAGAAAGTGATCAAAATTTCTACTTGTAAGAAAGGAAACACACACTCACACAGCAACAACACATAAAACATAAATATGAAAGAGAATAACAGAAAGGGGGAGAAGAGAGCAAGAGAGGACAAGAAAAATGAGTGAAGATGGATATTAAGAATAAATTATAACACTATAATAATACTAGCATAATAATAATAATAATAATAATAATAATAATAATAATAATAATAATAAAGGATCATCATATCTGCCAATAATAAGCTATAAAACAAAAATAATAACAGGTGGACTACCTTTTAGTAGTTCATCCCAGCCCATTATGCACAGCAACCTCCACCAGATTGCTTCTTCTTATTTAAGTCGACAGCGTAATCAGTCTTTTTCGAAACTGAGAGGTGCCCGAGACTAGATATTCTCTTAATGGCTGCCTCAAATGCCTGCTCAACATTAGTAGAGTCCTTCGCGCTTGTTTCATAGTATGGCATCTTATTGTTCTCTTCGCACCATCTTGCTGCTTCTTCTGGTGTGACTTTCCTATCCGGTACATCTACTTTATTACCAATGACGATGAATGGGAAACTATCAGGCTCTTTGACATCAGCGTAATATAGAAACTCTTTCTTCCACATGGTGAGGTTTTGAAAACTCTGAGAGTCGTCGACGGCATATGTTAACAGACAGCAGTCGCTGCCACGGTAAAATGGAGTCCGCAGGCTCTTGAATCGCTCCTGGCCTGCCGTGTCCCAGATTTGTAGCGTGTAGCGATTGCTGTCGACTTCCATGTCTTTGTTTAGGAATTCTACGCCGATCGTGTGAAACATGCTTGGATCAAATTTGTTGCTCACGAAACGCTGGATGAGAGAGGATTTGCCTACCCCACCATCTCCCAGGAGAACTACTTTAAGAAAGATTGGCTTGCTGGACATGATGACGCTGTGATTTAAGGAGAGAAGGGGGGGGAGAGAGGACAATAAAATTAAGACAAAAGTGACAAGAATAAATATAAAAGAGATAAAAGAAAAGGAGAGAGTGAGAAAGAAGACACACATTTTCATCTAGCGTCTTTCCCACATAAAAAATTAATACAATACACTTGATTAGAGATAACAATAAAACCAATTATTATTATTAGTCTGGCATTTCCAGACTAAGTCTTTGTGTCCTAATTGAGACAGAATGAAACAGTCTGTCATCAACAGACTCATTCACATGTCAGAGAATACCGTGTACATACTAGTAAACACACACATCATGTCAATACATTCATTTGTACGTCTTGTTTTTGAAAGAATTGTAAAAACAGAATGACACTGTATTTCCCACAACCAAACCTAAACAGCACTTCTCAATGAAAAGGCTATGTCTGAGTGGCATGAATTGGCATGCCCCAGCCCTCCCATATATACAATACACACTGATATAGACCATGCACTATAAAATATAAAGTAACTATTCTTTATAGCTCCATTTCAACTCCCAGCACACCCCTCCAAGACCACCTCCTCTTAATATTGAAAGTATTTCACATCACGCATGCTTAGAGATACAAAGCAATGGTATAGTCCCTTTCCCTCTCTCCCTATATGCTTACTTTTCTTTCTCAGAGACGGAGACTAAGCTTCACCACCGCCTCATCCAGTGACAGTGTATTCAAAGCTAACACTAGCACTTGATAATGATCACTCGGTTGGGTCATATGATTCTTTTAGCCACACCTATTATCACGTGGTGGCATGAACATTTTTGGTGAAATTCGAGGTAGATTTTTTTACCTGGAGAATGGAGAGCTGCTAGATTATACTTAAGTTCACTTGGTAGTGGTAGATAGTTTAGCAGCTTAGCTATAATTTTCGCAGTTATTATTATTATTGTTGTTGTTTTTCACGCTATTCTGACTCTTTATTTTTTTTGCTATGAAGCACTAACTATAACATCAAAGCTCAACAGTCTAACACCTTAACTGTATGACATTATGTTAGCTTTGGGCCTAGATTTTAGCCAAAAATAATTTTTCAATAGAAGTTATAACCACACCTACTTCTCCATGACAACTGACCACACCTACTTTTCCTTGCCTACAGGTCACTCCTCCTAAAAACATTTACTATGGCGGCAAGAACGAAATAATAAACTGAAGAAGAAAGGCTGCTAGAAGAAGGAAATATGGCCACTGCTATAGAGAGAAAATTTACTGGTTTGAGAAAACGCCTGGATCAGTTAGGGTACCGCCAGGCACTAGGAATAGAATCCCTCCCACTGGTAGAGAGACTGTTTAATGATCTCCTTCACACAACTGAGAGCTTGAGGAACGCTAAACTACAGATTACTAGAAGCAAGGAACAGAAAGGTAGAAACTAGGAAGTATATGACATTATATTGGGGTTTTGTTTCTTAATTCTTGGGTATGTAATTATCCAGATTTTAATTTTAAATGTTGTCAATCACCAATGTAACATATATAATAATATTTACTCAGTCATAATGGTTCTGTCACACCTTTTCAGTTATTGATTTTGCAAATTATATAAAAAGCACAATTTGCGAAATTTATTCCCACAAAATATACAAGTAATCCCTTCTGCGATTTAATTTTAATTTCCCTTTTTGCTTGTCAAGAAAGGCACAAGATTACAAAATGGCATTGTTTTGGGACCAAACTTTTAAGAATAAATTACTAAAATGGTCAGATATTTTAAAAACAGATTGTAATTGCTTGTCTCCTCTCTCTCTCTCTCTCTCTCTCTCTCTCTCTCTCTCTCTCTCTCTCTCTCTCTCTCTCTCTCTCTCTCTCTCTCTCTCCCTCTCCCCCCTCCCTCTCTCTCTCTCCCTCTCTCTCTCTCTCTCCCCCTCCCTCTCCCCCCTCCCTCCCTCCCTCCCTCTCTCCCTCTCTCTCTCTCTCCCTCCCTCTCTCTCTCCCTCCCTCCCTCTCTCCCTCCCTCTCTCCCTCCCTCTCTCCCTCCCTCTCTCCCTCCCTCTCTCTTTCCCTCCCTCTCTTTTTCTCTCCCTCTCTCTTTCTAAGGTTTATGGGAGAAACATGTAGAGCCCTACCAACAAGACAACAGTAGACTAACGCAAGAGAATGTTGCTCTACATCAGCAGATCCTAGCACTCAAGGAGTCTCTGGAGCAGAGAACCAAAGAACTCAAAGTATGCATGAGGCGTCTGGAACACGAAAACGCTGACCTCAAGTTTCTCAACAACCAATACATGCAACGAATCATATCGCAAGAGAAAGAATCACAATTGAAGTCTGAGAGGATTCTCGAACTACAAGAAAAGAATTCTCAAGCCGCCATTATTCAGACCCCAGGGGGGCGCAAGAAGACTCTACCCTATCGTCGCCAGCGGATGGAAATGGATTCTGTTCTCACTCCCTCGTCGTCCAAAGGGAAGCTCCTCCCTGTTCTGCCTGAGCCTGATCCTCAGGTAGTTGATCTTCTAAAGATGGCGGAGGAAAAGATGATTGAGATGCAGCGATCGCTGGATTCTATTGGAAAGGAGAAGAAAGAAATGAAAGACAGTATAAAAGATTTGAGAAGACAGGTTAGGGTTCAATTTACATGTACATGTACATGTATTAATAATGAGAATTTACATGCAACATTATACATGTATGTACATGTACATGTATGTTCTTGTACTGTATTAATAATAATGAAATTTTACTTTTAATGTACATGTACATGTACATGTACATGTGTATATGTGACCGGATTTTTTTTCTTCTAAAGGTTGAGAGGAGAGAGAATGAGATTGAGCGTCTATCGGGTCAGTTAAGAGGAGGGCGTCCACCAGAGGCACTGGCAATGGAGGGAAAGATTGAGAGCAATGAAAGAATGACAGCTCATCTTAACATACAGGTAATGGAGAGAGGGAGAGAGAATTATAGAATAGTAGAATAGAATATTAATCTGCAATAAATACATGTACATGTACATGTATCTGTATGACAAAAATACATTGTACTTGCATTTGTACATGTACATGTACATGTATTTATAGTACATCTGTACATGCATACTAAATGTTAGCTTAAAGATACATGTACATGTACATGTACATATGTATGTGCAGTTTTTTCTGTTTTCATACTGTTACTAATAATAAATATTATTAATGATAACAATATTGTAGTACAAATCTACAAGTTTACATACAGTATAAACATGTACAGTATAAACATGTACATGTAGTACATGTTTTTTTTAAATTTTTATTTTTAGGTTGATTTCTTGCAGCAAGCTAATCAGAAGTTAGAGGCTGATCTTGCAGAAGCTAATGAGTCCAAAACCAAATTGCAAGCAAGAGTGAACGATCTAGCAGGAAAGAATGCTAAAATATGCTCAGAGCTTCAAGTAAAGGACTACATGTACATGTATACAGTAATGTGTCAAAATTAATTAATCTCAAAAAATAACTAGTTTGAGCAACTTTAAAAATTCATAAAAAATCCAAATTTGATTCGAATCAGTTCAAACTTTCTACACAGCATAAGAACATGTATGCATATCAGAAAAATTATTAGAATGGAGAATTTTCTCCTTTTCAATTTTAGCAAAATTTGGCCAACAACCCTGTACTGTAGTACAGGGACTTTGGTCTGATTTTGGAGCAACTTTAAAAAATTTTTTTAAATTCAATTTTGATTGGAATCAGTTCACACTTTCTACACAACATAAAAACATCTATATGCATCAGGGAAAATTATAAAAATGGAGAAATTTCTCCTTTTTAATTTTTTTGAAATTTGGCCAACGACCCTGTACTATAGTAGAGGGACTTTGGCCTGATTTTAGAGCAACTTTAAAATTCATGAAAAATTCAAATTTGATTGGAATCAGTTTAAACTTTCTACACAACATAGAGTACATGTACATGTATGACCATGCATGCACATGTACTGTACTCTTGCATGTACATGTACATGTACTTATGTACATGTACATGTACTTATGTACATGTACATGTACATGTACCGTAATTTGCCTTTTTTTCGTTGTGGAAATATTTTCGTATGGTCCTAAAATGACGAAAATATTTCAATCGAAAATTTTTGAGCAACCAAAATTTGTGACCTAATTCATCAAAGAAAGACTAAGGTACGGCCTGATAAGTAGGTATCTTCTTGCAGCTCTAACCTTGCTCTATCCACTGGTGCTTGCTGTACTTCAATCAGTTGATTCACTACTGAGTTATAAAATAAAACGGTCCACCATGTGACAAAAGTAGCCATTTAATGTTTCCGTTTATTATCCGTAAATTGGTCATTGCTGCATCTCCAGTACTATCCGTATACTAGTAATGTCGGGGGAACAGACAGGTCAAGAATCTCTTATCTCAAGAATTATAAACACTACTATAGCGGCCTTGTTACCAGTAGGTAAAGGACAAGGTATATGCAAGAGAAGCTAAATTTTCAGACTGTAAAAATTTTCGTACACTATGAGAAGACGAAAATATTTCCACTTGAATTTTTCTGAAACGAAAAATTTTTGTACGAAAAAAAGGCAAATTACGGTATACACAATGTTGTGTATTACCATAGTGGCAATGCAATGTGCATATAGTAATGAGGTGAGCTTCACTATAATTTTGCTTGTACATGTATGCTATCTGAGGTCACTGATTTACATGTACTCTGATTTGGTAGTAGGATGCATGCATGTACATGTACCGTACATGTACATGTACACATTTTCTGCTTAAGTTTCAAATATTTAACATTAGAGCCTTAGAGGAATGATGCACAAGAACAATTTAACAAAATATAAACAAAATTATTGTAAAATTATTGTATTGTTACATGTAAATGCAGTTCAAGACAGTTATATTATTATTTAAGGAATTTCCCCTGGTATGGTTTTTCTGCTTGGCTTTTTCACTTTTTCAAAACATAGCCACGGTGTGAACATTGTGAGACTGAGGGCATCACATATAGCAATGGCACTCAATACAGAGTTCTCATCAAAGAGACCATTTATATTGTTAGTATCCCAAGGTACAAAAAACATAGCATAATATAATATTATAACTCGTGGAACAACAAGAAGAACAATTTGAATAATGACTGCACTAGTTATGCAGCAAAGTCGGTGACAAGTTATCTTCTTTCTGATTTGGTTTCCTTTGGTCATTTTTAAGACAATGTATGTTGAGAAAGAAACTGCTAAAGCTGAAAGGCCAAAGGTGACACTTGCTGCCTCTAAGCCATCAATGAGTTTAATCTCAATGCAAGTTCCATTTACTGGAGTGTCTATTTTAACTCTACTGCCTTTATGGATTGTATAACAATTTCTGTGAATATAATCAGGATTATTGTCTCTCAGCTGCTCCAACTCATCATTTTTGCTAGTTATTCCTGTCCAAAATGTGCAAATACAGTGAACAGAGAGGACAAGAAACATGAAGAAGAGGAAATACGTGTAGCAAATTGGAGTTTTATATCCATATACTATGAATCTGTCACCATCTCTCTCCAGGAAAAAGAATATCTTTTGGACAATTTTTGTCATCTTTTTCTGGATTTGATAGCACTTTTCACCCATACATCCACAGCAGCAGAACAATGGAACGAAAATAATGAATAAAATCAATGCAATATATGGAATTCCAAATAATATGGTGCCAGTAGCAAAAGAAGTGATGGAATCAATTGTATCAGAGTTATCTTTGTTGATAAAGAAGGCCATTCTTTGTCCAGTGTTCACTGTTGCTTAATTCACCAAGGGTGGACAAGAAATTCAAAAGGAAATGTTTTTTTGTGCACGGTACATGTATTAATAAACAATAATTATTACTTGTGTATCCTTATTCTGCTTATTGATGCGATTGTAGTCTAATCAGTAGTATAGCTTGTGTCCAACACTCTGTTTTTAGCTCTAGTTCTGGTAGAGCGGCTATCATAATTATACGTGTAGTTCTACAGTTTAAAGTACCATGAATCTATGGTTCCTGTATCTGTTGACACAATGTGTTTGTGTGTGTGTGTGCAACTTTTAGAATTGATTCACAAAGCTTCAAGCCATGTTGTGCAGCTACATGTAATTCATTAATTCTTATTTGTACTTTAACCAATGCTAATCTGCTTTTGCTTACCCCTCAATAAACCTAATAAACCTTATAAACCTAATTGTACTTTTGAGATACATGTACATGTAAACTACATGTATTATGTATCAGAAAAAATTATAAAAATGGAGAATTCTCTCCTTTTAAATTCTGGTGAAATTTTGCCAGCGACTCCGTACAGGGACTTTGGCCCAATTTTGGAGCAACTTTTAAAATTCATAAAAAATACAATTTTGATTGGAATCAGTTCAAACTTTCTACACAGCATAAAAACATCTATATGTATCAGGAAAAATTATAAAAATAAAATTGAGAATTCTCTCCTTTTCAATTTTGGCGAAATTTGGCCAACGACCCTGTACTATAGTACAGGAACTTTGACCCAATTTTGGAGCAATTTTAAAAATTCCTAAAAAATTCAATTTTAATTGGAATCAGTTCTAACTTCTACACAACATAAAAACATCTATATGTATCAGGAAAAATTATAAAATTGGAGAACTCTCTCCTTTTCAATTTTGGTGAAATTTTGCTGCGACCCTGTACTATAGTACAGGGACTTTGGCCCGATTTTGGAGCAAATGAAAAATTTATAAAAAATCTGAATTTGATTGGAATAAACTCAACAACATAAGAACATTACTACAACTATTGATTGCATGTTTATACATGTACATGTATGTATTGTATTTTTAATTTTGTCAGGAAATCAGTGAGATGGTGAAAGAGATGGAGAGGGAGAGAGAGGAGAGCGAGTCTTTGCTCCAAACGCAAATTAAAGACCTACAGGAGAGACGTAATGAAGGAGAGAAACAACTAATACAAATGGAAAGAGAATTAATGAAAAATAAAGAGGTTAGTGTATAATTTTTAATTTTTTCTACTACGTGCATTTTTAGTCTTATCAAGAGTTGCTGTCAGATAATAAGAAGATGGCCGAAATCCTCTCAAGCTCTCAGGCAGATTGCAATAGAGCAGCATCGCTCATTGAGAGACTCACAAACGAGAATAACCAGTTGAGGAAACAAGCCAGACTAGCCAAAGAACCAGGTACGCATACAGAGCACATGTACAGTACATGTACATGTACATGTACTTTCACATGTACATGTGCTTGTAAAACTTTTCCAGGTTTGGATCAGTATGGATCAATGTATGGTGATGTTGGTAAGGAGAGAGACCAGCTTCGGGAAACTCTTAGAAAATTAGAATTAGACCTGAAACAAGTAAGTACAATGTACATGTGACATGTACTGTTTGTGACATGTACAATCCATTAAATGTTATTTTTGACAATTTTTGTTTTCAGTCGCAAGATCAAGCTAAGGCCTTGGCACAAGACAGGGATAACACCCAGTTACTGTATCGCCAGGTTAGGATCTACATGTACATGTAAAATCTTTAAAAAGTTTCCATTGCTTTAGGTCTGTGAAGAACTATCTCGCTTTAAGTCACCAACAGCAACAAAAACCTCTGGCCCCCATCCTCCTCTAACGCACCCTCCTACCTCTTCTCCTCTCCCTCCTCCTCCTCTTCCCTCCTCTCCCCTCCCTCCTAGTCTCACTCATCATGTGAGTAGGCTGGAGGGAGAGAGAGACGACGCCAGGACTGAAGTGAGGGAGTTGAGGTCCGAGTGTCAGAGCCTGAGGGAGAAGCTGAGTATGATCAGGGAGGAGAAAGGTGAGGTTGAGAAGGACAGGAATAGAGAAGAGGTCCGTCATCTGCAGACTCAATTAGAAGAAGTAAGAAACATGTACTGTACATGTGTATTAGATACATGTGCATGTACATTGCTAGATTTACAAATATAAATGTACATTGTTGTGTATATTAGAATAAAACTATGTACATGTACATGTTCATTTTTATGGTTTTTTTTTCAAGAATTACTTGTAGGCATGAGAGAACCTCTTATTTTTATTACTTTTGGTATTGTATCAACCTTTTCCTCTCTTTTCTTTCAGTTATCAAAAGAGAGAGATAAATTAAAGCTAAAGTCTGAGAGCCTCAGAGAGACCATCAGTGGATTAGAGAAGGAGGTTATTGAATCAACCAGTGCTCTGTCTTCAGCAAAATCAGACAACAGGCAACTGAATGGTAAAATAAAACGTTTGCAAGGACTACTGGAGGCATCTGAGAATGCTAGGAAAGAAGATCACACTGGACTACAGCATCAGGTGAGATTAACATGTACTCTACAGTACATGTTAATTTCAACTCCATGCCATATACATGTACATATATATACACATGTACATGTACATGTACATGTACATGTTCTATATACTGTACAGTGTACATGTACATGTACATAATAGTCATTATTATTACTTACAAGAACTTGTACGCACGTCTGGATATGACTGGAGGTGTGGTTAGGAGGCGGAGCCCCTCAATGTTTTACATTCTTTCTGTTATTATTATTATTGTTGTTGTTGTTTGTAGATTTCAGAGACGGAGATAATAATCATTGAGTCCAATAAGTTGAAGTCGAGGTTGTCACAATTAGAGGGAGAAGTAGAGAAGAAGCAAGACAAGATGGAGGAGCTAACCCAATCACTGAAGGCACTGGACAGGGAACATGACCTACTGAGGAGAGAGTGTGACAGCAAGGATGAGGAAATATCAAAATTAAAGAATGAAATGCAACAAAAAGTAATTTTAGAATGTACATGTACATGTACATGTTTTTTTAAATACATGTACACAATACATATAAAACAAGTGTACATGTACATGTATTGATTTAAAAATATTCCTATAATTGTCTTCACCACCCTGATGTACATGTACATGTACATGTTAGCTGGGTTCTTCTTAAGACTTACAAATGTATTACAGTATTAAGTACATGTATACAGGAGATTGCATAATCCTTGCAACAAGAGTTTTAGCTGATTTATTTTGTTAAGTGGGTGATTTATTATTAAGTACACATGTACATGTACATGTACATGTAGCTGCTACTCTCTTATACAGAAGGTAAGGCAGAAAATTACCAATGCTACTCTTGTTGGAAAGATATTGCAATCTCCTGTAATTAATTTTTTGTTGACACAAGTACATGAGTGTTAACCACATTATCATCCAACCCACAAGAGCTTGAACAAAAAGCAGAGTATAAAAGAGTTGCATACTGCACTGCATGTGGGTAAAGGCGGATTTACAATATGACATTAGGCCAGCGTACCGTCAATTTTTAATCAAAAGCGTGGGCGATTTGACCTTTTGACGCATGCTTTCCGCTGGAATAGAACCAGATTCTATTCCAGCGTCAACGTAACGTCAGGACTAGCGTAATATTGTAAATCCGCCTTAAGAGATGAGTGTCAATTTTATTGTTTTACAATTTTTGGAAGGGATTATTATGAATGAACCCTGAAGCAGTATAATTTAAATCAATAAATGCACCACATACTATTATTACCATATAGTGGGAAATTTTGGAGGGAATTACGTGTAAATTTGGCAAATTTGGCATTTTGATAGCCATTAGCCAAAATAAAAATCTGCCATTTTGAGCCATTATACGCATGCTTAATGGCATGTGATCGCTAATTTGCCAAATTAAAATTTGCCAATCATCAAAATTAGCAATTCGCCAAATTTAACTCCCTCCAAAATTTCCCTCTATATGGTACTGTAGATTTTCACTGTATGTACATGTACATGTATTCTTTAGGACAGCAAGAATGAACATTACGAAGGTCACATGACGCGTTTCAAAGCATTTGAGTTTGAGGCACAAAATGTTCTAGCAACAAAAGAAAAGGAGCTAGCACTCCTGAGACAACAGCTGTCTCACTGCGAGGAAGAGAAGGAGAGAAGAGAGGGAGAGAATGCCAGCCTCTCTCAGAGCTTGAAGCAACTGAAGGATGATCTTGCTACGATGACAATGGAGAACCAAAGGGTTAATGAGGAGCTACGCCGAGTATCAAGCGAGAGGGAGAAACTGACAGTACAGGCCAAAGAGCAACAAGAAACACTTGTGAAGTACCAGGAAGAACTGTCTGTTAAGGTACAGTTGTATAATGTATGTACATGTACATGTACATGCATGTACTATGCATGTACAAATGTACATTAAATGGAAGGACTTTGAGCGAAAGAGTTACATTTTACAATGCATTTTTCACAAGTGCAATGCACATGTACATGTACAGTACATGTACACTGTATGTATCAATTACTGTACGTATTGAATTGCATGTAATAATAAAGATTGCATGTACATGTACATGTACATGTGAATGCACACGTGTACAACATTTGTGTTTGACTATACAGTATATTATGTTTATTCATTGACATTAGGATCAAGAGAGGGTTCAGCTATTAGAGTCATACCAGTCACTAGCTAAAGAGGCCGAGAGATTAGAACTAACAATACAACAGGCAAAGTCCCAGCACTCATCACTCGATATTGAAATCAGCTCATTGCAACAAGAGAATAACCAACTGAGGGAACTCTGCCAGCAACACACTAGTGAGATATCACAGGTATGATGTAATGTGATGTCATATTGATGATGTAATGTGATGTCATAGCACTTAGCAACGCTGGAATCTTATGAGTTGCAAATGTCAAGTTTGACTAGTTCGCTGGCAAAAATGGAGGAAATGTGTCGACAAGAACAAAATGAAAAGGTACAATGTACATGTACATTAATAATTGTGATTATTATTAATGTAGCAAGCGTTGATGGGTGATTTGGCAGCAGTGAGAGAGTTATGTGTCCAATTGGATAAAACAAAGGATTCATTGACAAGACAGCTAGCATCAGTATCAGCAGTTGATGAACAAACACACTCTGAAATGAATGACTTACTAGCTGAAAGAGACCTACTGAAACAACAAGTAATAATACTAAATGTATACATGTACAGTACATGTACATGTACATGTATATTGTATTGTATCTGTGATTTTATTTCTTCCCCTGTAGTATAATAATGAACGAACCAGAGTTCAGAATTTAGAAGTATTGCTATCAAATGAAAGAAAAAAGGTACAGTACACATACATGTTGTACATACATGTACATGTACACATACAGTACATGTACATACATCTATGCATGTACATGTACACATGTACATGTACAGTTAATGGTTACTGTGATCCATTTACATGTACATGAGTACAATGTACATGTACATGTACTTGTACATCGTATTTTATTTCATTGAAGGAATTCAAAGCTCATTTGGCTAATGAAGAGAGAGAAACTGAAATTAATCACTTAAGACAACAATTGACACGACTAGAGAATGAAAAGTTAGTACATGTAGCTGTACATGTGATAGTATGAAATCTTTTTTTCTCTTCTTATTATTAGTGTTGCACAAAGAGATCAGATTAAAAGGTTACGCAGCGACCTTACAATCAAACAAGAAGAACTGAGCAGATTAACATCCGAACAATCAACACTATCACTACAAAAGTAAGAAAAGAATACATTGTACATGTACATGTACAATGTATTAATGGTGAATTTTGCTTGTTTTCTTTTTAGACAAGAAACAGAGAATCAGCTGTCAAGACTACGTACAGTAATATCAGCCTCTTCAACATTATCACCTAAACAATCATCACACGAGGTCACTCACTCAGTGTCAGCATCTTCAAAGTCACAACCAGTGAGAAAATGAGCAGAAAAGAGAGAGATGGAAATACAGAGTTTTTGACATTTTTATTTATATGTATATGTACTGTATGTAATTACATAATTTACATGTACAGTATACATGTACATGTAGATTGTATTTGCTTTTCTTCCTCAGACTGGTGTTGAAGAAGCTATCTCTCGTGAAGAAGAAGAGTTAAGAGTAGAAAGTGCAAGTGAGTATATTATACCAATTTAATATTTGGCTTATTATTATTATTATTATTATTATTATTATTATTTTAGAGTTAATTAGTGAATTATTATCCCAATCAATGGAAAAGACAAATAACAACTGATATAATAATAATGACAATACATGTATACTGCTATAGTTATCAATAATAATTATTTTTATGAAAGTAGATGTTTCTATTGCCTGAATTCCTCAATGTACACATAGAGCTCAGTTATCATTTCTTAAGCATAGTTTTGCAGTAAAATCTACACAAATCTGGCCAAATTTTAATTCACATCATGTGATATTGGCTATCACAACTTAATATCCATGAACTCACTTGTCACAATTATCATGTGATGATGTTGGGATAACACAACAACTCAGCCTTCATCAGTTCATCTTTGTCATTCAATTTTCTTTTTTGGTTCAACTGGTGCAATACAGCTCTACTGATTATATTTAAAATACAGTGAGTTCTCTAAAGTTATAATTATTATGATGCATGTACCCTTACTAGACTCTATAGGTGATTGAGAAAATGATTGAGCTCTCTCAATGGAGAGCATGTATTGGGTTGTGGAACTGCTGCTGTTCTGGAACGAAACTAAAGTTATGCCAAGATGGAAAAAAAATAAAGCAATCGAGATGTATCTCAGATGTGCATGTAGACAATGGATTTGAGCTATTGAAACTGACATTTTTTGCTCATTTTCTAACTGTTACCCTCAGTTCTATTTTAATTACAATAGGTAATGAGGTAGCTTACTGTATATGTATATGTACATGTACATGTATATAGGGTATTAGGTTTTATTACATTGTATTTCTCTGAAGTATATGCACATGTTGTACTAAAACTAGTGTATTTATTGTTATGAAATGGACTTTACTCTAAATTTTTAATTTACAATGTAGGACTCAAAATATTTTTCTGCTCTCTTCTCCTTCTTTTATCTGGAGATGTTGAGCTTAATCCTGGTCCAGTAATTGATGAACGACCTAATATTTTTGTGTTGCTTGATCTGCTGGAGCCACTTGAAAACTGGCAGTTGTTTGGTCGTCAGTTGCCTGGAGTAACACAACAAATTATTGACATGATCCAAAAGTCCAAAGATTTAATGAGTTCAAGGCCAAAAAAGAAAGCTCTTATTGAAAAATGGTTCAAAGAGAATCCTAAGGCAACATGGAAGGATGTGCTTGCTGCTTTAAAAAGAAGAAAAGAGATTCAAGTCATTCAAGATATTGAAAAACACCTGTCAAGTACATGTATTTGTAAGTTTAAAATGTACAGCAGAATAATCACAGTTTATTAATTCTATTGCAGGTAACCATTTGGATCCAAAGGACTTTTGTGGTCAAATTGCTCCTAAGGAATTGTTACGTTCATATTCAGACAAACTTACTGCTGCTATTACTGATAATCTTCATACAATTAGCAATGCACTATATGCTAATGGACTAATGTCATTAAACATTAAATGTCGCATATTATCAACAACTGGGCATTCCGATTACGAAAAGGCCAGCTACTTAGTGACTACATTATTAAGACAATTGGAAGCATCTTTAAATCCACAAAGGGATTTGATTAATATTTGCCATATATTGATAAATCAAAAGCATCGAGCACTTAAAGATATTGCTGCATCTATTTTGGATCAATTAGGTAAGTACATGTACATGTATGTGTCCCACTTAATTTCATTATACATGTACATGTACATGTAGGTCAGCCATATCATGCAGTCATTAGTTCAGATCTACCTGATGATGTGCAAGAGTACATAAAGAGTCTCAAAGATAAGTATCTAAGTCAACCTATTATTGCTAGTGACTGGCCACCAAGAGTTGGGCAAGATTTTTTTGGTAGATTAGCACTTGTAAGGGAAAATGAGTTTGCTTCACAAGCAGAGCATGAAAGATATTCGTGGTGCATGTTAAGGGGTCATATCGATGAAATTCATTATATTTCTGGTTATAATAAAGTTACAATTGAAACTATGCTAAATTCAGATCTTTTGTCTCTCAGATTAGCTGTAGATGGTCCTCCTGGTATTGGCAAGACAACACTTTGTCGTAAATTGTTAAACATGTGGTCTAAAGGATCACATGAGCTTCAACATTACGACATAGTACTTTATTGTCCATTTAGACATAAACAAGTAGCTGAAGCAACTGAACTAGCTGATCTATTGACATGTACATATAAAAGTCCTAAAGTATCAGATGTAGCAGACTGGATAACAGAAAGAGAGGGTAAAGGGCTTCTAATTATTTTTGATGGTTGGGACGAATTAAGTACACAATTGAGAGAGGCTTCACTGGCCACAAGCATCATTTGCAAAAATCAGTTAGTTTATTCTTCTGTAGTTGTTACCTCTCGTACTTATGCCACTGCTTCACTACTTCAACTAGAATGTCTCAATCAAAATGTTCATGTCATTGGGTTTGTTGCAGATGAAATAGATCAAGTGATTAAAGGAACACTTAGTCAAGAACTGGCAGAAAAATTGATTGAAGATCTTGAGTTACGAAATGATGTTCTCTCATTGTGTTATGTTCCTTTAGTCTGTTCTATGGTTATTTTAGTTTATCAAAAGTCAGGAGGTTATCTTCCAACGACCATATCTGATCTTTATGAAAACTTTGTCTTACAAACTATTAGAAGGCATGTTAAAAAAGCATATAATGACCTGGAGCCACAATCAATTGACAGTCTTGGTAATTTACCATCAAACTTAAATGCATCACTTCAACAAATGTGTGAATTTGCTTACTTCAGCTTAAAGAAAGAAACTAATAAAATGACATTCACTCTTTCACAAATTCAGTCACTGGATATTGCAGCAAAAGAAAACTACCTTGGGATGATAACATCTATTACTGACTTTGATGAGGAATGGTATCAATTCATTCATTTAAGTATCCAGGAATTCCTAGCTGCATGGTGGATTGCTAAAAATGAGAAAACAGAAGAAATATTTAAAAATTGTTTTGAAGATGATCATTTTCGATTGTGTCTCAGGTTTGTGGCAGGCCTAACTAAGCTGGAACATCAAAGCTATCAACAATACTTTAACAGCACAGTATTTGACTTGCAATGTAGAAAAAGACCTTTGTTTGAGATTGAATCTGCCCATCCTTGGATTACTCCAGATATGCATCATGTTAGTCTTGAAAAGTTTCAATATAAGTTTATGGTCGAATTTTGTACCCTTCTTTATCTCCTGTATGAATCACAAAATACAGAATTATGTCACATTTTAGCCCAGTCAATCAAAAACTACTCCATGTGTCTAGGTAATATTTCACTGAGCTCTGGATTGCAACCACCATTTGACACACTGTGCCTTACATACTTTATTAATAATTCTAATACATATTGGAATTATTTGCATATTTATCCATATGAAACTGCTTCTCGATGGAACATCATCAATGAAGGAATAGAAAAAAGCACAGCTCAGTCTAAAACAGTTGTTATAAATAATTTCCTGAAGTTAGTACAATGGCCGCGATATTTTAATATTCAAGAATTTTACTGTAGTTTTTTTTGTTTTGTGGATGTTCAAGAATTTCTTGTTTTTTTAAATTTCTTTTCTGAACTTCCACAGCTAAAAAAACTTCATTTGAATCAAGTCAGTCATCAAAGAAATGAATCGAGTCAAGCGGCTATTATCGAACCAAGCAGTCATCAGCAAATATTTGTTGAACTTGAAGAAAGCATAGTTAGTTCTCATCTACAAGAACTATACTTTAACATGAAAGAGACCGTGCAACTGAAAAATGTTTCATTCATTACTGATATAACTGCTGCTTTACTCAAGGGAGTAACAAGTAGTAAAACAATTAAGTCATTGAAAATAATAGTTGACTATCACAGTTATTATCATTGTCCCCCTGCACTTCCAAATGGCATTATAGAACGCTTATTGCAACATAACAGAACATTACAAGAACTTTCTCTATATTTACCAAATGAACTTATTTCATCAGCACTGAATATCAAGGAAATAAATGCACCACTGACTACTCTAGAAATTGATGAAACTTTTGCAATAATTGAAAAAGCAGAACAATGCAAAATGCTGGCACTTCTTCCTCATATTACAGGACTAAAGCATTTAAAATTGATGCTGTACAATATGTGTCCTCCATATCCTTTACTCCTTTCAAATCCCAATCTGCAGTATCTCTCACTACAGTTACAAACATTTGATAGTGTTATAAAGCTTTTTGAAAATCTGACAAACAATACTACACTTTTGGGACTGAAAGTAAGAATTCGATTACAAAGATGCTTCAACTCAGGTGGGACAATCTGTATTCATAATTTAGTTAGAACTCATATAGGGAAAAACCTTGAGAATTTGTTAACAAATAATCACATTTTACAGCATCTTGAAATTATAGGATTGGATATACCATATGTTTCAGAAGGGTCAATTTGGCCGAATGCTCATATTATTCCAAATTTTTTTCTGCATTTTTTAAATAAAGGTCTGGTACAAAATAAAAGCTTAAAACATTTAACTGTGCCTATTGAAATACCTAACTTAAAGGGGCTGAAACTCTTGACAATTTTCCTTGATACATTGTCTCAAAAGAAAATTCTCACTGAACTTCAGCTATACATACATATCAATAAATCTGATAGAGATGCAACAATTTCTTTCTTTAGTGAAAATGGATTACCTCATTTTACAAATTTCTTACGTTCTGTCAGAGCCCTAAAAATATTGAGAGTGGAATTTGATTGTTCATATTATCATTATTCATCAGAGCGGGAAATTCCTTGTTTGTCTACAATTAAAAAATGTGTGTATGATTTCATGGATGGGATTGTTTTTCATCCTTCTTTAGAATATGTCCACTTAGGTGTATCAGTATCAAGTTGTGTAACAAATATTTTTGAGAAAGAATTGAAGCGAATAATGAAGACATATAGTGAGCAAGAACAGAAACCACCTCCTCACATTGATTTATCAGATCGTCTTAATTTAAAAGAAGAATAACAATTTGTTTAGATGAATATTAATTTTTTGCAACCTATTATAGAGAGCAATTAGACTAGCTATTATATTATTTTTATTGTGAAACTACATTTTGAATGCAGATTGCAGAGAAAGGGGGAGGAAAATGAGAAGAGAGATAATGGAGGGGGTAGGAGAAGGCCATGGCTTTCCCAAACTGTCTATTTCAGGGTCTTCCATGCTATTTAGCTCAATTCAGCCCTGCAGGCAATCTATGAAAGCATAGTATTTATTATGGTGAAAGTGGAGCCAATCCTATATTGGCCATGCTGTGGCCAATATAGGATTATATAGATAATGGCAGAGGCAGTAGATGAAGAGCCGCTTTTTTATGTTTTTGCTGATGATTTAGATGAATACAATGAAGATCATGAAGAAGATCCACCTCCTCTTCCTCCTCCCGTACTGGGAGTACAATCAACCTTAGACAGTTAGGAGGCCAGTACTGACCCTTAAAGTTGATCGGTTAGTTACTGTATAGCGGAAAAATTTTGTGGCCCAAAAATTTCGCAGATCTGTCCAAAAATCAATTTCATGGATTCAATTTTCGTGGTTTTCTACATTTCAGCCATCTTGAACTGTATAGAATTGATTTTTGCGGATTTTATTTTCGTGGATTTTGAAAAAATGCAAAATCCACGAAAATTTTGGGCCACGAAAATTTTCCGCTATACGGTATTTAATATTTGTAGTATTAACTCGAGCCTGATGCCATTTTTATCATTAAAATTAGTGAATTTTATTTTGGCAAAAGACGTATTTTTTCATAAACAGATTGTTTAATGATTGTTTAATGATGCACATACATGTTACATATACATGTATGTACATGTGCTGTATCTACATGTATGATTTTATTTCTTCCCCTGTAGTATAATAATGAACGAACCAGAGTTCAGAATTTAGAAGTATTGCTATCAAATGAAAGAAGAAGGTGCAGTACACATACATGTACATATACAGTTAATGGTTCTGTAATCCATTTACATGTACATGAGTACAATGTACTTGTACATCGTATTTTATTTCATTGAAGGAATTCAAAGCTCATTAATCACTTAAGACAACAATTGACACGACTAGAGAATGAAAAGTTAGTACATGTAGCTGTACATGTGATAGTATGAAATCTTTTTTTCTCTTCTTATTATTAGTGTTGCACAGAGAGATCAGATTAAAAGTTTATGCAGCGACCTTACAATCAAACAAGAAGAACTGAACAGATTAACATCCAAACAATCAACACTATCACTACAAAAGTAAAGGAAGAATACATGTACATTGTATATGTACAATACCGGTATATGTACATGTACTGTACATGTACACGTATATACTGTGTACATGTACGATGAATAAATCATGAATTTTTACTTGTTTTCTTTTTAGACAAGAAACAGAGAATCAGCTGTCAAGACTACGTACAGTAATATCAGCCTCTTCAACATTATCACCTAAACAATCATCACACGAGATCACTCACTCAGTGTCAGCATCTTCAAAATCACAACCAGTGAGAGAATGAGCAGGAGAGAGAGACTGAGATGAGAAAATAAAGTTTTTGACATTTTTTTATTTTATGTACATGTACATACAGTACATGTAATTATGTGTGTATAGTGTGTACTATAAAGATAAAGTAATGCCTGTACAGTACATGTAGATTGTATTTGCTTTCCTTCCTCAGACTGGTGTTGAAGAAGCTATCTCTCGTGAAGAAGAAGAGTTGAGAGTAGAAAGTGCAAGTGAGTATTATACCAATTTAATAAGTGGCTTATTATTATTATTTTAATTATTATTTTAGAGTTAATTAGGGAATTATTATCCCAATCAATGGAAAAGACAAATACAAACTGATATAATAATTACAATGCATTTACATGTATACTGCTATAGTTATTATCAACAATAATAATTTTACATAGAGAACGTACATGTAGGTGTTGGCTGATTCTATTGCCTGTACAGTACATGTAGATGTGTGCATGCATGAATTCCTCAGCAGGTACTATAACAATAATTTATTAGTCCTGTAGTGTAAAAGCATACATGTAGTAAATTGACTTTCCTTCACATCATGTGATACTGGCTACCACAAATTCCTCAACATTGTACTTGTCATAACTGTTCCACTGTCCAAATATCATGTGATGATACATCATGTGATGCTAGGATATCACAGCAACTCAACAACAGCCTTTGTAAACTCTTTTTCGGCTCAACTGGTACAATACACTAACTAAACTC